CAGGTTCGTGTTATACTCAATATGAAATGTTCATCGCAGGATTTGCTGCCAGAAATGGCTTGCAATCGAATTCACCAAGATGAATGGTACTGGATAGGCAATATGTGCTGTGACAAAACCGAAGAAACATATTGCATTTTTCATTTAATTTTTTGTCTCTTTATATCACTGAATACCTCCATTATAATCCGATATGCTTGATTTGCAATCGTTCATCTATGGCTTGTTCGTTCGTTGTCACATGTGACTGGGAGGCGTGTGACTTCCTTCGTTCTTTCTTCCCGTTGTCTATTTGAATCACTATTTAGGCGCTTTGCCAACTCATCACCCTATGCTGACAGACTATATGTTCAATGTGGAAACATACACCTGGGTACCGTGGAAAAGTTTGGTTCCCTGCTACGTGCATGACACAAGTGTCCCGTTTACTCGGATACTAGTACCAACCGTAGAAACGGTGAAGCTGAACTGGATTATGAAGGAACATTTGAAGGTAAGTGACGAAGGACTACAATCGAATGTGGTTCAGACATTCCTGTCTTTTGTTGTTTTGTGTGCACGAAAAGTGCTAGTGATTGCCGAAGATAGGCAGACCAGCGAAAAGTAACTGTTTATATATATATACATACATACATACATACATACATACATACATACATACATGCCTGCATATCGTGTTAGGGATTCCCAAGGTTGCAATATACTGTATGTTATAGCAAGCTTACGACTACATGAGAAATAAAAAGCTCTAAAAGAGCTGACATTCATTTTCCCGTTAAATTGGCAATAGATATCAATGAGTATTTTATACTCCTTACCATGTAGTCTACTGCTTTTATCCTTTCTGTCTGACTAGTGGCTTACAGATATGACAACGGTTAACTGATGCAATGTATGGTTAGAGCATATTACTAGGTAGGCCTCCTCTGCGTACGATGTTAGCCAAATTAGGTAATGGGTGAAACAAAGTCGTAAGCGGTTAAACGAAGACCTGACCCGGGGGATGAATGGGGACCCCGTCATACAGGTCGTGTTAGGTTACCCGGATGTGAACCTCAGGATCAATCCTACGGCTGATTAGAGAACCTAAGTTATATTTCAGTGCCGTGAACAGTGGTAACCGAGTATCCGATCATTTCCTTCCCAATAATGGCCTTATTTTTCTTGCTATTTTTACTCTGGTACTGTTTCGTGCCTTCTGATTCTTCCCTAAACTCCACCCAAATGGGAAACCAGAACGCCGGGACCACACCCGTGCTATGAAGTGAACTGAAGTGGATCAGTTGCAGCGTGATGTGTAGGGCTTTGTAGATGTAAGAAACGATTGCAGAAGCCACTGAATAGATAGAAGTCGAAAGCCCATTATCTAGGCTTTACTCAACATGAATCTGAACACCAGGAGATGAAAAAGATAAGGGGCACGACTACAAAGAAATACGCTAAAAATAAACAAGAGTTCGTTGTGACGATGGGGAAAAGATGTTCCTGATTTTTTATGATTGATATCGCTGTGATTTATGACTAAAGTCATGGGTTTTCTCTATCTGACCACTTTCACACAGCTTCGAGCCCCTCTACTAGTTGTGGGCGAGACCGGTACATCGAAAACGGCCACAATTGAGAGCACGATGCATTCTTTGGATCAAGACACAACAAGTCTTCTATTCTTGAACTTCTCTTCTCGTACAACCGCCAAAGATGCTCGGTGCATGATAAATGCCAATGTGGAAAAGCGTGCCAAAGGAGTTTACGGCCCAATCCCGGGGAAAACACTGATCGTTTTCATTGATGACATGAATATGCCCAAGGTACATTTTTCCAGGTTTTCGTCGAATTCCCCGTTGATGTATCTTCGAAAATTATTTCGAGGATTAGGCTGATGGTTATGCTCAGGTAGCATAGCCAACGTGACATATCAGGTGAATAATGAACTTAGCTAACCTAGTAAAATGATGCTATTTAGTATGAGCTTTTACTTTTGTATTGGTACTGATAGAACGCAGCCGGGCTGAAGTAAATAACTGGCCGTGGTCTGTGCTTAGCTTCCATTTTGGGCTCCTGTTGAGTCGGATATTTTTCAAATCTGAGACAGAACCTTCGACCAAGGTGGATGGAATTGAGCATTTATTTCACCAACCAAAATAGCAGTTCTCCGTTTTCTTCTGATGTATCTAACTTACGCTACAGTTACTATTGGAACTGTTAGTTGACAGAACTTCATACACAACCCAAGTAAAAGATGCATTCTGTTTACGTAGGATATTTTGTGGAATAAGGAGATACATTTGTGTCACACTTTTTTGAAAGTCGGTATAACTAACTAGGGTTGAGTTCGATTGATTGAACCCCAAATCGCTTATTTAGGCGATTTATTTGTATTACCCTATCCCTTGCACTGCATTAACTCACTTCTAGCACTGATAAGCCGTATCAAATTATGGATACTAACAAAATAGCGGACTGTTTGAAATTCGCGGTTTATTCAGATTATTCTTTCCTTATAAACTGGGCCTAAATTCGCAATGAGTGCAAGTGCTGCAGCTGCTGCCAAATGACGGATAGCAGTCGCACGTTTGCTTTCCTTTCAGATCACCTTCATTCACTTTCGACTGCACTGCTGTTTGAAACAATTAATTCCCGATATCTGTTTGACCAGAAAGGTCGATATAGCATGATTTGTGTTTTCAATGATTTTGCTGGCCGTTTTGTCCACGCACATGATCAAAATGTATTGAAGCCATCACGATCGTTGATAAATCAACGGGTACACCGGGCAATGAATATCCGGTTTTCCATTTGTCGTCTATTGTCTTCAGGAGGATGATTACGGCACTCAACAACCGATCGCACTTCTACGTGTGATCATCGGTCGTGGTGGTATGTACCAGCAAGGTAGTGATCTTTCTTGGCGCAGTCTAAAAGATATGACTTATCTGGCAGCAATCGGACCAGCTGGTGGTGGACGACAAAATCTGGATCCCCGATTCGTGTCCCTGTTCACTGTCTATCACGCTTTGCCACCATCGGATGATAGTGCATTCACAATTTTTGGCAGTGTACTACTCGGACATCTATCCAATGGATTTACACGAAAATTGCTATCATGTGTGGATCAGTTCACCCAGCTTAGTCTGCGCGTGTACAAGTGAGTATGACCCGGTTGAAGCGGATTCGAGTGATCAGTAGGGGGCTTCATAAATTGTAACAACGAATAAGAACACGGAAACGGTTAATCAGTCTTAGTTTTCAGCTTCTTCCGGCTGAGTGATTGTAAGTGACCAGCATAATAAGTAAACATTAGTCAATTTTACATAGATTTCGTGTTTGAAAGCTTGTTTTTGAAAGTAACGAGAACACAGGCTGTGCACAATCGTCTAATTAATAAAGTCAAACAAGAAATTGGTACAGTTAATCACATTTGTTTTAAGCCACGAAACGATATTTTTAGTCACGTGTGAGTGAAATCCAAGGAGTCTCTGAGTACACTGTCGTCGTCTGCTTGCCAGTACTTTGATTTTCCCTTTTTCTATTTTTATATCATTCTCGCTNTATATCATTCTCGCTATCATGTTGGGACTGTGCTTGTTCGCAATCTGGTGACTTACACTCTCGCAACACATTTAGAAAAAACCATATTTGTCCAATATCTCGTTTCTTGTTATGTACCACGCGAGATGTGCCGTGTAATTTTTTCCTCTTCTAATATACATAGATTTTATAATAAAAATACTTTTTTAATATTATAACTATACCAAAAATGTCAAAATTGCGTGCAGTGAACAGGCAAAAATGTTATCATTTCCACAGTTGACTGTTTTTGTTTTCTCCCCTTTTCGGTTTCTGTACTTCTTTTTCAAATCATCGTTATTTTTGCACCGTATCTGTCATGATTGATGCTGTGTAGATATATATCATTGAGAACTTCTCTTTGTTAGAGACAGATACGTTAACTACCTCGGGAGTTGTCATTAGGGGTCAGGGTGCGGCATCTACCGGAGTAAACTGAAAAATGGTAAATTGGTTCACTTCATGCCCGATGCTCAAGAATAACGGAGGGCACAGTGATTATTAAGAAACTGAAAGTACCAC